ATTGAGTCGAGTCTTGCATTGAGTTGAGTCGAGTTGAACCAAACCTGGTTGGGGTAGAAAGAGATTATGAGTCGAGTTGACCAAACCTGGTTGGGGTAGAAGAAGAAAGAGATTAGAAGTGGACTTATTTGCAAATAAAGGTTAGGACTTGTTTGCATTAAAATATACAGCTTGGGTATTAAGTTGTAGCCTTTGTACACTTGAGGTGCCAATTAGAGAGGTTATACAGCCAAGTCATTTCATCTAGAGACTACCCGTTCTTATCAACTCACTTTCCCATTTTCACGTTTCTCCTTCTCTTCTTACTTGTCCCGCCCATTTTCTTTCAATTGTCAACATAGTGAAGCATTACCACTCCAAGTAAGTAGAATTCCTTGAAGTGTGATGTTATTTCCTATTTCATTTAGTTCTATTGGAGATGAGTTATGAGAATTCTTGTGTATAGGAGAGGAAAGTTCAAAAGTTGCAGAAAAGAGAAGCTGAAACAGAGTTCAAGCTTTTGACGTCAAGGTTTGATATCTCATGTTGTTTACTACTTTCTTTGCATGTAAATTGTGTAGTGTGTTGCCAATGAGATGATATGTTGCTTGTTGTTGGGTGGAAGTACTGGAAATGATGTGAAAACAGGGGATGAATATATGAAGCGGAAACAAAGTTTGCTGGAAATGTTACCAGCAACTTCATCTTGATTTTGAACCCATATAATGATGGAATTAGGAATTGTCATAGAAGAGTTATTTGTGAGTTATTATTTGTTTCTCTATGTGTTCCTCTATGTGTTAGTTTTGCATGGGTTTTTGAATCACCCAAATTGGAGTTGTATATTGAGAGATATGACCAAAAGAGTGCAGACTGCGCAGGCTAGAAACGCGTCACGACCTGGCACTGCGTAGGCTGGGAAGCACGTCGCGCGTGCTCCCGACTCATGGGTTTTTGAATCACCCAAATTGGATTTGTATATTGAGAGATATGACCAAAAGAGTGCAGACTGCGCAGGCTGGAAACGCGTCGCGACCTGGCACTACGTAGGCTGGAAGCACGTCGCGTGCTCGCGACTTTGCACTGCGCGCACGTGACTTCCACTTCAAACTCTCTGACTCTCAATTGGCACATTACGCGCTCGCGACTCTCAAGTGCGCGCTCACGAAGTTGGCCCTTGGCCTGGAAGCGCTCGCGACTTACATTGCGCACTCGCGTAGTTGGCATGAAAACTCACTGTCTCTCATTTGGCACACTACGCGCTCGCGACTTTCAAGTACGCGATCGCGACTTGTGCCTGAGAACACACTGTCTCTTTCTGCATCTCGCGCGCGACTTCCACAGGCGCCGCTCCGCACTTGGTTTTCCTGCATTTTTGCGGACTTTCTCTTTTCTATCTGTAATTGGGTTTTTTGCCCTCGAAACTGTGTATGCATCCAATCAACTTTCAAAAACAAAAATACCACATATTAGAACACCTGTATCAAAACAACATCCAGCATCTGCAAATGATGTGAAACTCACTGAACATTATAATTTATGAAGTGATCGAAACTATTACCTATGCATGTTGTGTCTATGTTACATTTGACATTACTCACTATTATGCTCCATTAGGTTAGGTAGAAACCATGTCGATAAGGCCCAGTCGCACATAGGATAGCAATCCTGCACTCCTCATCATAGGTTTGTTCACTCGCTGACAGCCTTGACGTCTGGTTACTCCGGCTACAGGCCGTTGAGTGGATATGATTATATGGGCCATAGCAGCCAAGTATACAGTATTCATCCAGTTTATACAGTTTTCTTATCACCTCGATTTCGCTATAACCTTATGGAGCCATACAGATATCTGGACATAACATTGCATAAATCATACAGATAAATGAAAGATATCATGATATGTGTGCTGTGCCTTGTGTTGTGCTTACATAATGCTTTTTGCTTATATGTGTGCTTATTGTTGTTTTATGTTGAGATATCCACTGAGCTTTATTTGCTCAGCTAGTTACCTGTTTAAATCGCAGGTTTTGAGACTAGTTCGTAGAGGGTCCGTTTACAACTGCTGCCATTCATCTGTAGAAGACTCGGTCTTCAGGGTAGAAACTCATTTTGTTATTCTTTTATGGCATGTACGAGGCACACAGTTGGGCCCAATCCATTTTGTAACTAGTATCATGTCTTGTAAATATTCAGTACATTATTACTATAAGCAATCTCAGCATGATATTAGATTGGCATATCATTTAGATTCATTATACGATTATGTTCAGGCATAGTCAGTTCATTCAGTCAAACCAGGTTGTAGCTCTCGGCTTCCGCGGGGATTTATTCGTGGTTTACGGGTGACCGAGAAGGGTGTTTACAGATTAGCGAGCCAAACGAATATGGTAAACATGTTTTTGGTTCGAGCCTATAATTCACTAGTGCTTGTCTCTTACATTTGGAAAACTCTATCTTGAATTTGCTTATTTGATTATCTATTTCGAGTAGCTACAGTCTTCAATATTTCCTTTAAAAACAAAAATTAAAGGACATAAACGAGTGCTTTAAAAAAAAAAAAAAAAAAAAAAAAATACTATCTTCACTTGTAAGAAGTCAAATATCCTAATATTCTGTCTTTTCTTTCTAAAAATTTCAACTTCTCCCATAATCCACCATATACTCAAATGTCAAATTCCTTTCCCAATTTTGCATAATTCAATTAGGGTTTTGTAATTGAATCAAAACACAAAAACTAACACATTGAAAACAAAATATAAATAAGTGACTTTTTCCAATAAGTGAACGTTACTAGAATCACCACATGCAAGCTATGATGAAAAACCTTTGCATTCGCCTTTATCAAAAAGACTATTAGTTGAAAGTAGGGACAATAAATTGCATGCCTCAAGAACAATTCATCTTTCAAGGCTTTTACGCAATCTCTATGAATATATTGGCCAAAAAAAAACGAAAAAAAAAAAAAAAAAGAAGATTAAAAAGTAGAAGAATCAAAAAAAAAAAAAAAAAAAAAAAAACTATCTCACTGTAAGAAGTCAAATATCCTAATATTGTTTTCTTTTTAAAAATTTCAACTTCTCCCATAATCCACCATATATCAAATGTCAAATTCCTTTCCCAATTTTGATAATCAATTAGGGTTTTGATAATTGAATCAAAAACAAAAACTACAAATTGAAACAATATAATAATGCTTTTGTCCAATAAGTGAAGTACTAGAACACCAACATGCAAGCTATGATGAAATAACCTTTGCTTAGCCTTTATCAAACTATTAGTTGAACGTAGGGACCAATAAATTGCATGCCTCAAGAAATTCAGTTTCAGCTTTACGCAATCTCTATGAATATATTGGCCAAAAAACGAAAAAAAAAAAAAAAAGAAGATTAAAGATAGAAGAATCATATCTAAGAACTTCCTTTGTTCCCATATATAGCACCATCACTAAATCACCACTTATCTTTTTCTTTCTTTTGCTTTTATTGAACCCCAAAAGTACTAACCTATATTCTTTCTTACCAATATTCTCAACACAAACTCAGTCATAACAGTACAGACCAACTGCTACAACTACCAAACTTAACTACCTCCCATCATGTTCAAAAGGGGAGAGATATCTTCCTCGCATCAAAAGCTAAATACACATGGAGGGAAAGTTTTTTCAAAGAATAGGTGATAGCTATTAAGGTATTAGTTCAACTACATCCAATTAATTTTCAATTGCTAATTTCTTAAATTATGAGAGTTTAGTTTAAACCATCATTATAATTATTATGGTTTAAAATTAATTTTTTTAATATTGGAAATTTAAAAATGAGCTATGTAATAGGGTTTAATTTTTCTCGACTAAAATTTGAATATTACAATATTGATAACTTACGATTGCAATTACATATTTAAATCGAGAAAAATTATAAGAAAATAAAGTTGCGTGTACTGAAAATGTCTTTTATTCAGATTTTACTGTGTCATCTGAAGAAGGAAAAAAAAAAAAAAAACATGCTAAATAAGATACTTTCTAAAAATATAATTTGGAATGAAAAAGAAGGCATAGGGCATAGGGGAATAATGGTGTCAAAGTAAATGATGGAAATAATTGATAGCTACCAGCAATATGCATGCAAAAGACAATCCATTATGGTCCAACCCACTTTCATTTGTAGCTTCATTGCTATATATACTTCTAACTCATTTAAAAAAAAAAAAAAATTTCATATCTATCACCAAACTCACCTAACTGGGTGTTTATTAAAAGTGCATAAAGTAGATTTGTTGAGAAGGAAAATTTAATTTAAAAGTGCAATAATTCATCACCAAGTGAAGCATTTACTTTTAACCACTTAGCTTAGACTTGAAGGTGCAATTCACATGGAAGTTGTAGAATTAGAAATTCCATCTTTTCCACATGTTTGATAAAATTTAAGGGACATCCCCACATGAACCAATGTGATTCAGAGCATACATGTGATTAGATTTCTGGCTTCCAACACAAGAAACTCTTACAATTTTTTTTTTTTTATTTCTCAGCAGAAAAAAAATTCATCTTAAACACACTTTATTGTTTTAGGTGTTTCACATTATAACAGACAGGGCAATCGGACAACTATCAAATGTCTATCTCGCAATTAATGGCTCTATCTCGTAGTATAAGTTCAAACCCTCTAATTAAAATATGTTTTGTGCTTAAAAAAAATCAAAAAGACAGGCATGCCTTTTTGTGTTTGTTTTTCAACAGCTTCTCAGATTTTCAGTTGATTTGGAATTAAAGTAGCATTTCTTTGATTTCATAATTTTAGGAGACAATGGCATTAAGTTTTCTTGAGGCCATCATCCCAAAAGTTCTCAACTGTTCAAGAAAGCATTCGCTATGCTCTTAACCAATTGAAAAGAACTGTCAAGGATTAAATCTGGAATCTTGAAGAACTGTTTCAGCAGAATCCTATGTTTGATACACCATAATGGAATGTAGCGTAATATAATCAAAGCTATGATTATATTAAATTATATTTCATTACGGATTACCAAACTCAGCCTTCATTCATGAATCAAGGGTCAACAAATCAATATTCTCTAGCAAAGATCTTATATACCAAAATTTAAGTACAATTGACACACTGAAATCAAGTAAACAGAGTTCACAGTTAGTTGGATACTGAAAAGACTGAAAATTTCATTAACATCAGCCTCTGCCTCAAGCAAGCTTATGTTAATAACACAAAACCCAATGTTGCTTCTACTCATTTTCATACTTCCAGGAATCTCCTGTTGTCAGTACCAGGATCTCTTACCACCATAACGGTCATATAGATCTATACTATAAGCTGGGGCTGTAGAATGAAGGGATGTCCTCGAGTGGGAATGGTAGTCCAATGGCTGAGCAACAGAATATGAGAGACCACGGTGCAAAGGATAGTCCCTATATGGTGGATATGGATCACGGTGTTTAGTCTCTCCTTGATGCCTCAATTCTGAATCTAAAAACCGTCCATCATGATGATCATGGAATGAGTCCCTTGTGTGTTCAACATGCTTATGACGCCTCAGCTCCAAATCTCTATATCGCATGTCTTGATGTTCAGTAAGTGTATCCCTTCTATAATTATTCATCATTTCCGATGTCCCTTCATAAGCATATAACCGTGGAGGGAAAGCAAGGGATGATGGAGGGGGTAAAGGTGGGCGTGATGGCAGCGGTGCAACAGGGGACACATAAGTTTCCCTTTCATATGCATCAGGATGTCGCTTCCTAGTCCTGTCCCGATCAGAAAATCTATGAGTTTCTGCAGCAGGACGACGCTTTCTAGTCCAGTCCCGATCTACAGATGTATTTATTTTTCCTTGCTTTTGAGGCTTCCTACTCCGGTTCCAATCTACAGATGCATGGGTTTCTGCCTGCCTATGACGCTTCCTACTCCGGTCCCAAGCTACAGAAGCATGGATTTCTGCTTGCTTACGACGCTTCCTGGTCCTGTTCTGATCTGCTGTCAATGTATGGGTTTCTGCACTGTGATGATGCTTTTTATTCCAGTCTCGTTCTGTAAATTTATGAGTCTGTGCTTTAGGATTTCTACGCAATTGTTTCGACTTGGTACTGGCAGCTTGAAAAAGCTTGCACAAATTCTTCACCTGTATACCAGTACAATAAGCAATTTACCATTTGGTCAAATGCAAAGATGTAGGATTCATCCTTAATTTATTTGATCCAATAGCACCTCTAATTGGTATATATCCATAATTAGACAAGGACAAACCTGTTCTGATGTTAATTGAAAATCGAACTTATTCTTCTTGTAGTAATTGTCTTTGATAACCTTTTTGAACTTCTCCTCTGGCACTGGCAAGCAGTCCTCAAAAACACTGAACCGCACCTACCACAACAAACCCTCTTATAACACAAGTTGTCTCAGGATACTAAACCAGGTAAACACACATTGAAAACAAAAGTATTTAAACTGAAGAAACTATCACCAATATCTTAATTGTACCATAAGAAAGAATAACACACAAGCTAACCAACTAAGTATCCAACTACCATGACTGTATATGGAGACAAATCATCCAGTAAGCAATCTGTAGATAATGATTCTAATTAACCACAATCAACTGCACTCAACAGAAAGAAAGAAAATAGCAATAGCAGAACCTGCAAAACTATAGCATTATACTACTAAATTAATGTCACTCTGAATATGACATTGGTGATTTTTAGAACTCAAAAGACAACAAAAGCTATTTGATCAAAAGACAATAACAGAAAATAATTATATGCTCCTGATCACTCTAGGATACAACAGCATTTAATAGAAAATCTCTCATCAAATAACTATATATAATGCATGAACATAACATATGATAAATGTAATGCAAACGAACTACAATCTTGAATCTTCTAAGAATAAAATTTCATAAAAAATTATGAAAAGAGATTAAATATCACATTCTCACACCACATGGTGTATGGTGAGTTTACAACAACTACTACTAAGCCTTAGTCACAAACACGTACAGTGACATTGCAACAAAAGAATTAAAATGGTCCAGTAAAAACATGGCAAAATATTTCTCTTCTTTAGAAAAATTAGTTAGGCTCAAGCCAAAAGAGTAATTTCAAAGTCTAAGCTTTCAGATAGGCCTCTATTAATTTCTTGGAAATTCAAATGTCTCAAAGTCTAATTTACTGATAAATGGAAAGCTGAAAATACAAGCAAGAATCTTTTACCAAGTACAAGGCTAAACAATTAGCAACTTTGTATGACTGCCATTTGCATACAAATCCAAAGTTCAACTTTTCCAAATTTCCCCATTAAGTTGTAGTTCTAATGCATCATTCCCTTATGCAACAACCTTGCTTTCTTAATCAGGGTATTTTAAATAAAGTAAAAATTGAAACCTTGGTTGCATAAAGTGAAAGCAGAAGCACAAAAGCATTATGGTGATAACAATATAATGCACACACAGGCCCTAGCCTAAATATATGTAATTTATGTCCGCATATGAAAACTTTAAATACAATTCATCTATGCTTTTACACATGGAAGAAAATGTAACTTCTGCATTCCAGTGGGAAACTCCCAACTCATGTTTACTGCAACTAAGAAATGATTTATGCTTGAGATTAAAATTGTTAATGTAGACTCTAGACTATGCATCACTTTTAATCACATAAAAATTGCCAGTATGGAATCTGGCTGTGGTCAATTTTTAATCACTACAAACATTTCTTTGCCTGTTGCTCTTTTTTATGTTATAGAAATGGAGGGGGTGGCCTTAACTTTTTCTTGAATGCAATTCCCCTTTCATGTAATCTTTAAAGAACAAAAAGCCGGATTTCACTCCCACAATGGCCCTTATCCATGAAAAGGCGCCCACTTTATATCTGACCTCACTGGCCACATGGCATTTGTGTTAACTTGACACTTAAGCCCATTTATAAGTAAAGATTAATGGATTATGGGCCTAAGTTCGCAAACCTTTAAAGAAGTAAATTCGTGAGGATGGAGGGAAGAAATCATAAATTGAGAATTCTTATTTCACAAATTTAGCTCATGTTCATTATTCTGTAAAGTAGATTAGCTCAAGGATTTCATGGTACTTCATTCGCCAAACAAACATATCACATATGCTTGGTAAAAAATACATCAACCGTCCTATGAAAGCTAAAAGTAAAAGATGAATAAAGCAAATCATGGGAAAATCAAACCAAAAACCAAGATAAACATTAGAAAAATAACTCATTCGCTGTGATTTGGCCATCTATATATATACCTTTTGGCATTAATGCAGACTTAGTTATGAACAAAGTGGAATGGTACCAAAAGATTGATATAACCGACCCCAAATAATTTGAGATTAAAGCAACATAGTAGAGAGCATATGATGCAACTCATAGATAATAATTAGAATAAATGACAAGCAACTTTCAATACCAAAAAATATTGCCCAAGTAATGATCTAAGAGTGAAAATGGTCTAATCGAGGAAGGTCCCATGCATCAAGCCATAGTATGTAGGTGTGGAACATGGAAGCCAAAAGCCAACAAACTTTTAGCAAGCTCTATGAATTGTAACAAATATTAGTTAACTCTAGCTAAATCACGCCTAGACCTTTGTAAATTACTAGTTAGTTAAACAATTGAAAAGGGGAGGGGATGATCACATGGCCAAAAAGTCAACTTGGGTGTTAAAAGTAGTCCACTGAGGACTTGAGAAATTGAATTAATGTGTAGCTTAGTGAACTATTGCTAACACGTAGATGTTTGACTATTAGACCATGTGATCATGCTAAACTCACCCAATTGTTTGGCTAAAAGCAAACACAAGCCTAAACATGACAAATAAATGTTTTGCAATGAAAATTTTGAATTGGATAAGGTCAAATCCAAATCAATTCCTTCATGTAAAAATTGCTTTACAAGTGAGTTCTTAAGAAAAAGTTGCACGTGCGAATTCTAATTGCTTGTTAATGATTGGTCGAGAAATGTTGTTATCGAATGTTATCGATTGAAGATATAAGGGCAAACCTTTGACCTTAGCACTTGTCAAACAACAATGTAAGGATAAGTAAAAAGTGCGAATCTTGGAATTTGCAACCATTGCTAAACAAAACTATGCTTTGAGAACTTAAGCCCGAAAAAATTAAAATAAAGTTGAAATGTAATTCTTGGCCACTAACCTGGGCAGGGAATGCAGAATTGAAAGCCATTGGTTCGATATTGTAACCCCCAGGTCCCGCAGCTCTATAGATCCCGTACAACAATTTCAAATCAAAATCAAACAAGAACAACTTCATCCCCTCACAAATCTTTAGAACAATCTCTCTTTTATTTGCAGGCAAACCTAAAACCTTGTAACGGTAGCAATCTTGCTTTGTCTTAGAACTACACATAAATATCATGCCCATAAGCTTAGCATCTTTTACCTTTTTGTTTATAGGTTCTTTGCCATTCATACCCTTGACAGTTACTTCATTCACACCCATTCGAGCTATCTTCTTTTTCAAGTCTTCCCTCTTCTTTTTCTTCAATTTACCTATTTTCTTTTGAGAAACATCTTCCACTCGTTCTCCATCCTTCACTTGTTCTTTTATATTTCCTTCATGCACCATTTTCTCATCAATTTTTGCATTGTCATTCAACTCCATCATCATTTGAAGGTTGTTCTCACTAGAAGGTTTTTGATCAGTTGTATCCTTGACAATCACTTTATTCATAGATCTTAAAGTTATTTTCTTCTTTAAGCCCTTTTTCCCCTTCTTCCTCGACTTAGCTACTTTCTTCTTGGAAGTAACTTCAACTTGTTCTTCATTATTCACCTCTTGTCTTACCTCTTCTTCTTGTTCCAGTTCTTCATCAAGATCCTCTTTATTATTCACCTCTTGTCTTGCCTCTTCTTCTTCTTCCAATTCTTCATCAGGATCCTCTTCATTATTCACCTCTTCTTTCACCTCTTCCTTATGTTCCAATTCTTCATCAGGATCCTCTTCATTATTCACCTCTTCTTTTGCCTCTTCTTGATATTCCAAATCTTCATTAGGATCCTCTTCATCATTCAACATTTCCATTGAGTGCTCCTCCTCTTCATGCATGATAACTACATTAGATTCTCTTGTAAGCTCTTCATTCTCTTCGCCACAGGGAAAAAATATTGATTCTTCACCATTCACGTTCACGAACTTTGAGGAGACAATCTCAACCTCGATATCACCAATCTTATCATTATTCATCTCTGCATACATATTTTCTTTCTCCGCTTCTCCAATAAGCATATCAACTTCTTCCATGAATTGTTCACTCTCAAAACCACTAGGATTAGGAATAAGAAATGGTTGTTCATCATTTGCCTTCATTATCTCAGAGGAAGCTATCTCAACCCCAATAATGCCACTCTTACCACCATTCATCTCGTCCATCTTATGTTCTTTCTCCATTTCATCTTCAATATTGCCATTATTAGTTTTTGGCATGGAGCTACAAGCATCGTTGCCTTTCATTTCATCCATTGGCACCCTGTATGATCATTTAAAAGTTTTAATCCAGTATAGACCCTACAAACATTTAAAAACTTCAAACAATTGAAATAAATGGAGCAATAGCCACAAAGCATTTTCAAATTGCGCCCCAGTTATCAAGTTCAAGTACTTGACTTCCTAGTATACTTGCTAGAGCTCTTGAGGATTCCATAAAGAACCTAGCCTATGAACAACATGAAAGAACCACATTATCAAAAGAAATTATTCTAGCAAAGTAGAAAAATAGAAGGTTGTAGTTTGCCATTTAGGTACTTCCATAGTTTGCACAATTTTCCATTACGCTACTAAATCAAATCCAAACTAAGCTATCCACAAGAGCACAACCTAAATTCCAATACATCAAACTACATCGGCAAACACCATATCTAGTTGGAGATAAAAGGACTAAAGAAAAGAGAAATGGTTCACATTGTAGCTTTGAGCCAAATTATTATGGTATATAGCAAAAATGTTTCAATCCCACATACCAAGACAATTTTATATAGCATACACTTGGTGCCATTTTGATAAGCCCAAAATGAGGAATATTGGAGCATAGTGAATGATTGTAACACCATCCAACTATGGTTGACCATATAATTACTTTAACTATAAATAATGGCATTTGAATTATTAGTGAGAGGGAAGGGAGAAAATTTTCAAATTATTGAATTGGGAACCTATTAAATCAAGAATCCGAATAATCGATGAAAAGTCACATTTTAGTTCATTCATAGCGTTGGAAAAATTAATAGTCAAGTGTTGCATCCATGCTTCTCTGGAAACGCAACACCTCATTTTGTTTGCCAATAATGACATATCAAGAATAGGTATCGAAATTTAACTCATATGAGTTAAGTTCCTGATAACCAAGAATGATAATGATGGGAATAGAACGACTTATATTGCCTTATTTCATTCCCATTTATAGGAATGAGGAATATAAGTGAGGCAAATCTTCGTAACTAAAGAAGACTTCCATTTGAGTTCAATTCCTAAATAAAAAAGGAAAAAAATCTCTTCCAACAAAAAAAAAAAAAAAAGTATCAATTCCTAAAATAAAAAAGGAAAAAAAATCTCTTCCAACAAAAAAAAAAAAAAAAAAAAAGTCCACAAATAGAAAGGAAAATATGCCACATAGCAAGTCAAACAGAAATGCATAATAATAATGACTCTGACATTACACAAAATTTGTCCTACCAAACCAAGATTCTAATCCCATCAATAAGAACACTTATTTTATTTTTGTTTTCCTCCTTTCCCTTCCTCCTTTGCAACTTTTTTCAATATCATCTTGTAAATATTTTGATCCCCAACCGCTTAATAATCGCACCACATGACCACGTCAGGTTACGTCCTCCACATGATTGCTATCATGCTTACTCTTCTCTCTTTTCACCGCGTGAACACGTCATGTTACATCCTCCACATGATTGCTATCATGCTTATTTTCTTTTTGTTTTCCTCCTACATCCTCCACATGATTGCTATCATGCTTATTTTCTTTTTGTTTTCCTCCTTTCTCTTCTTTTGCAACGTAAATATTTTGATCCTCAACCAATTTATAATCGCACCACGTGACCACATCATGTTACATCCTCCACATGATTGCTATCATGCTTACTCTTCTCTCTTTTCACCCATTGATGAGGTAATTAGTAAAGAAGACAATATGAGAGATAGAATAGTTAATCCAAAATAGATACATCAATGTCGAAGAGAAACTCATCAAAAATAGGATAGCATAGTTTAAGCATCATCTAATCATATGGTTATATCTAGAAATTGGGCAAATCTACTTTCAAAATATTTTCAGTAAAACAAGAATTTGGTAGAAAATGAGCCAATAAAAAAAAATCGAAGTTCCTAGTCCATCAGGTTTTCTACTTATCCAGTTTTAAATGAGCTTACAAAAACTGCCATACTGCCTTTTTAGCAGTTCTCTAAGTTGTCTTCTCAAGTTTAAGAAATGAAAACCCCTTGGTTTCCAAATTTGGAATAAAATGGCCCCAAATTTCACTTCAAGTTAGGAAAAATTGTAAAATCCCATATCTTAAATTTGAATGGATACCTACAGAATAGGTTACCAAATTTAGGGATTCTAAGCTACCCAAGGAACAATGAAATGGAAAACTATGAATCTACTAATGCAATATCATAATATCAGAATTCAACCCACCAATCTATAACGAAAACACCCTACCTCTACATCAACGAGAAAATTACAGAAACCTTGTATCTACTAATTGTTATAACAAATTAAAGGGAATAAATAAATAAACCGCACCCATAGATTCTTCAAAATTTTAAACCTGCGCAGGTACAACAAGAACATGCAAAACAAAGACATATATCTGTTTGGTTGCAGACAGAATTCCCATTACTCAAGATGAAGAAACTAATCTGATAGTTGAAAAACAATTTCTAAACAGAAAAATAAATAAATCATCAACCCTAGATAAGCTAACCTGCAATCATACATGGATCGCAACTCGCGAGCAATCACTAACAAAAAAATTGAAATGAAACTGCAATCGGATAATGAGGACTCACATGTTCCTTTCCAATTTAGAGAGAGATTGTCAAAATCGCCTCGCAGAGCGAAGCCTAATAGAGAGGAGAGGTTAATCTGATATATTAAAAAGTGCGATGATAAGAACGTCAACCGACCGATCGTAATACATTTAAGATGCTTAATATAATCCAAACAGACAGTTGTTTCTATATGAATATATTATTATTTGTATTAACTTTTGTATTTTCTTAGCTTTAGGGAAAATAATGAGTTGATTAAGTGATAAAGATAAATAAAAAAAAAATTTGATTTTCATGTTAAAAAAACTTGACTTATATATTATGTTTGGAACAAATGAATTATGGTTATAGAATTCTTTTATAAATGAATTTCTCATGTTCGGTGTGTGATAAATTAAAATAAAGAATTCAATTGAATTCTATAAAATTATATTTAGAATAAATTCTTAAATGAAAATTCATTTATTTTTATTTTTTATTATACCCTTGACATAATAATTTAATAATAATAAATAATAAACACCAATTATATTTATTATATACAATATAATAACATATTGTTTTTTAAATTGTTTAATTAATTATATAAGTATTAACATTCATCATAATAATTATTTTAATTGTTAAGAAGTCTTATTGATTTAAGTAATTAATTTGAAAACTATAAAAATATTTTTAAAAATTATTACTGTTTTCAATTGAATTTGAAAACAATTGTTGATAATGAGTTTTTATTGTTTCACAATAATAACTAACCTTTTTACTAGATTAAAAAAAATTAACGTTATTACTAGTTCATAGTAAAGGTAAAAAATAACGTAGGTTATTATCAGATTTCAGAAAAAAAAAAAAAACATTAGTAGGAATTTTCCAAAAAACAAAAAAGTAGATAAAAAGGGAAAAAAAGAGTAAAAGAAAAAAAAAATAGCGTTAGTAGGAATTTTCAAAAAAAAAAAAAAAAGAAAAAAAAAATAAGCGTTAGTAGGAATTTTTCAAAAAAAAAAAAAAAAAAAAATGTGTAAAAACAAAAAAGGGAAAAAAAAGAGTGTAAAAAGAAAAAAAAAAATAACGTTTGGTAAGAATTTTTCAAAAAAAAAAAACAAAAAAAGAGAAAAAAAAGAGTTAAAAAAAAATTGAAATTTAATAAATAGAAGAATGGTCAAGTTCCAAAAAAAAAAAAAAAAGTAAACAAAAAGGAAAAAAAAAAGAGTGTAAAAGAAAAAAAAAAATAACGTTGGTAAGAATTTTTCAAAAAAAAAAAACAAAAAGAGAAAAAAAGAGTAAAAAAAAAATTGAATTTATAATAGAGAATGGTCAAGTTCGCGGAATTCATTTAGAGATTTCATCGATTTCAGTAGAATTTGAATTAGATATACCAAATTCCATAGAATTCAAATCTATATTTTTCCATTCCAAACACAATATTAGATTTTCAATGAATTTGAAATTCATTTATTCCAAGTAGACTAATAATATTTACAAAAATTTGTCAAACTAAATATTTTTACAATATTGTTAGTAATATCATTAAGTATTGTAAGAAATATAAAAAAAATTACTTGTATTAACAATAGTAAATTTTTCTATCATATCACTAACAGTTGTAAAATACATATAAACAAATCAAACTTACTTATATGAATAAATAGAGGATTTTGTCGAATAAACGTGGGTTTGATTGATCTTTTTTCACTAATATGAAATATGACGTTTCAGATTTGAGTTCTCTCGGCAATAAGAGTTTTTACTAATTTGATGAATTAAGAGAAGTGTTATCTATGTTGTTAGCAGACAATATTATTCAGCCCATTAAATTAAAAAATAAAATTTTTTTTATCGCTATTTATTAAATATTTTTTAAATAAATGTAAAATAGCTATATAAAAATAAACATGAATGATTATTTGAATAACGAAAAAAATTGGAAAAAATGTTACATGCAGTGAAGCTACTATTATAAGCAGTGGAGAAATGGAGATCGATTTAATTGCAAGATTGTAGTTATTATATATTAATTTGAAGCAATTTTTCTAATAAATATGTAATTAATATCATAAATGATATTAATTCCAACTCCGTCAATGTTTAAATTAAAAGAAAATTAAATTGTAAAAGAATCAAATATTAAAAAAATTAAAATTAAAAAGGGAAAATAGATATAGATAAAAAAGTAAAATTCTTTTAAAATTAAAAAAACTTGAAAAATACTAAAGACATTTTTTATTTCACTATAATTCATATAGATATTGATTATATTATAATTTTACTTATAATTTTGAAATAACATTAATGACATTATTAATTTGATTAATTATTAAAAGAAACTGAAGTTGAAATATTTTCAAAATATTAATGATATTATTAATATTATTAATGAGATTAATTTCACTCCACAATATCTATAAATGATATTAAAAAATAATTTCCTTTAAATGAAAACAAATATTCCAACTAAAAAAAACTTATGTTTTAAAAATTGCACAATTCACAAACATGCTTCGTGTTTTATAGATCTATATATATGTTCAGAAAATAGAAAATGTTCTCATTTTTAAAAGATAAAGAGGTTGAATAAGCTATTTTAAAGGAACGAGGATTTATATGCTGAGATGGATTTAGGTTAAGTTTAATAGAGAAAAATGATTATATTGTTTATATTCATCAAAAAAATTTTTTTTTTTGACTATTATTTCTTTCACTCTAATTTTGTAATTTTATTTATGGTATTTTATAATGGCTTAAACTATAAAAATACAAAAATGCGACTTGTTGGAATATCATTCTAAAATGACATTTGTCTCTTGCACATCCTTATTTGAAAATTGAATGTGGGATCCACTGATTTACCTTAATTAAATTAACCCAGTGTAATCGGTAGGTCTCGCATTAAATATCACTTCAATGGCATAGTTAAGTACAGTTATATGCATAAAAATGTGCAAATCTCTTATTTAATAGAAAAAAGAAATTTGAATGTGATTAAATCATATTTATAGAAAGACTATAGTGGCCACAAATAGCTATGAAGTGGGACAAGCAACCGCTTATGACGCATATATTCTCTTTAACTCAATCGTATAATTCAATTTAAGGTTGTATTTTTTATTTTTTATATAAGTGATTTATTATTAGACTCTATATACAAAATATAGAAACTTGTTTGTATACGGTTTTGTCAAAAACCATAACCCCAAACATTAATACGTAGTTTGACGAGAGAATTTTCAAGAAATTGAATCGTTAATTTGATAGAAGAATGTTGTCTACAAATGCATGAACAAGCCATGTACAACAATTTGTTAAACAACCTCCTTCAATACCATCTCTTATAGATACATATGTGCATCAATCGCAAAGCTGAGAACATAACACCTCAATCTGGGAAGATGTATCTCCTGATAATGAATAAGCTCGGCTTTTCCCGCTGCTCAGGCATGTCAAGTTAAATTGATTTCCGATTTGGCTCGACTGAAAAAACAGTGACAATTGCTTGAGAAAGCTGAAGAATTTTAATTCAACTCCCTACATCTACCTTCAATAGTAGCATCTCACTATCTAAATTCAATTATTCGGCTTTTAACTGAATAGCACAACTAAACCAATGAAGAATTTGCAAGCACAGGGTGCCGGTGTGTGCGTGTGAGAGAAAGAGAGGCAGTATCAGTTACCTCACAAAGAAATTTATTTGACTTGCAACTCCATAGTTTAGTAGGTATACAGCTCAAGTAATGACACCAAGAACAGTCATTATTCAAATCTGCCCCTCGTAGAAGTTTAACCAACCCAGCAGTAAATCTGGAACATTACATAATGTCTGTTAAGGAGCAGTCCTAAATTATTCTAAAGATGCTAAATACTTACAAAACATTTATGAACTTGTTAAGATGATCTCTCAATTCGACTCATTACTATAGTAAATAACAAGTAATGAAGAATTCTCTCAATAATTTCATTTTGGTTATAGAATCGGAAGGCTGCTAAAAGGTGACCATGCATAGTAAAAAGGATCTAAGTAATGATATTGTGAAAATCTAATCAAGATTAGTAGCTTTCCATTAGGCTTTATTTAAATCTCGGGCAGCCGACTTCTCTCTGAGATCAAATTAGAAAGTTCTTTGAATCGTGGGACAATATCATATGCAAAGAATCAAAGAAGTAAACAAAATTCCAACATAAAAATCAACTTACCCAACAATCAGTAGTACCACAGAGAGAATCAACAGCACATACTGATAAGTCTTGTGTTTAGATTTAGCTGGAGGAGCAATGTATCCTGGAGGACAAGCTTTTTGGTTAATCCACCCAAACTGGGGACGAAGTAAGAACACAAATCCAAGAAGAAAGCCCGAAATAAATCCTCCAATGTGGGCAAAATTGTCCACGTGTGGAAGGATTCCAACTGCTAAATTTATTATTATAATGGAAACAAGAGTCAACAATGCTGCCAACTGCATATGAAAATTTGCAAATGTAAGAGAATCAAACCACAAACAGTATAATCTTCAAAGGTAAAATATTTTACTAGGAAACTAAGTTTTATTCAAAGAAATTGAAATGTACCTTATTTGCATATATGGACCAGTTAGTAATCAGCTCAGAAAGCATGCCTCCTAGTAGGCCAAAGAGTGCACCAGAGGCACCAACGGAGATACCTGACTGAATAAAAAGAGCTGACAACAAACTCCCACCAAAACCAGATATGACATAGACTAGTCCAATTCGAACTGTAAAAGTGCAAATCAGGGAAAGAAATTATAATTTGCACCTCAAAGAAAAAAGCATTAAAACTTCAACCAATAAAACAAGAAGTCATTCTACACAAAGTCAGAGCACCCCTCTCCTCTCTCGGATTATCAACCCACACGTACATGAACTCAAGTAACTGGCAAGAATTCTCAGTGTATGACTGCAGCCTTAAGCAGCCAAGCACATTCATGAACTCAAGTATTTAAGTTTAAAAAGTTTTGGTACTGTGACTACACAGAGTTTATAAGTGAAAACGCACAGATGAAATTACCATTATAGTTGTTTATGCATCAATCAACACTCAATACCATCCAATTTTCTTCAAAAAATTCCAATTCAAACCAGACAACAAGTAGTACAAAGATATTTTTAGTAGATAAAAACAGTATGAGTACACAATTATCTTTCATTCATCTGACCCATAAGCCTGATACAACTAATATATTTTTCAGTCTTAGGCTCAAAAGATCAAACAAATACATTTCTCCAATCAATCAGCAAACGAAAAAACAAAAGTTCCAAGAATTGTACATACTTTGATGAACTTGAAACTCCCTAATTCACATTTCAACATTAATATACAATAAAGTTATTGCAGACACCTGTTTCTGAAAGGTAATTGCAATAGTTATTCACATAAGCAAGCTTTGCCATACACATAAACATGAAAACATTAATAACAAAGGTTCAAAATGAGAAGCCAGATACATACTAAACCCAAATTCTTGCTCGAGGCGAATTCCAATAAAGATAAGGCTCAACATGTTAGCAAGTATATGGAACACTCCAGCATGCAACCATATGCAGGAAATCAGGCGCCAACCCTGGTGACTGTTCACCACTTTATCGACATCTAGAGCTCCCATCTTCTCTAATCTAATGAGATAAACCACTATTAGACACAGAAAACAAAAATTGCAATTTCACACATCCAAACAAATAAAATGGCAAGTAAAAACAGTAAAGGCCACAACTTTTATGCACGGACATTGAATAAACCACTAAAAATCCTACAACCATGCAAGCACTTTTGTCCTAAGACTTGCAACAAAATTTGGACTTACAAAAAATAATTAAAAATTATTCACATATTCAATAGAGGTTTATGCAACCAGTTATTTATAATAATAGAATTGAGCTCTTTACAGAACAAGAGTACAAAACAAAATAAAAATCTCCAAAATTTTCACCGACTGTAACAGCAATATAGAATCAATATTCAAATTTAGAAAGCATTTAAATCAAACCCAGAATCCAAAAGTTTCAAAATTTCGGAAAAAGAGGAAAAAAAAAAAAGGCTTACGAACAAAGCAAGAGATAAGCACTTACGTGTTAGAGGAAGGACCAAGAAGGGGATTTTCCTTCATGGATTGAAATGAGAATCGTCCAAGAAACTTTCCAACACAAGACTCAGAGTTCTTGGGGCAATTATTAATAGACATAGCAATAATAAAAAGAACAATATTAGCCACCACAAATAAAGGTACCAACCATGGTACCCAGCGCCTGAACGGCCTGAACTCGCCGGAAAATATAGACTGTTGCTGTTGCTGATGCTGCCGATCCCGACTATGAGACGTCACTGTAGCTTGTGGACCCAATGAGTGCACCGTGTTGTCTCCCAGCCTTGAATGAACCTTGATTTCGACGCCATTGTCAGCTAGCTCTCCCCCCCTCATAATCAAAGATTTAGATCAATGTTTTAGCTGATAACGAGACATCAAAGAGTAGTATAAAGATAGATCACACAATGTGAACAGAGAATGAGAGAGAAGGATTGAAGGGAGGCAGGGAGAGGGGGAGAGGAAGAAGAAATGGAGTGCCGTTTGGTTAATCATTTGAGATGGAAAGTGTGCTTTTTAAATAATTATAAAAAAATAAAGGGGTGAGGTTGAGATTTGGAATATTTGCAATTTATTATTTTTGGAATTTTTAGGGAGTTAGTATTAAGTTTCTGATTTTGCACGGATTCTATGATCTACGTGCATAAAACAAATTCTGATCTTCCAATGATCTTGCTGTATAAATCTGATTCTAGGATGTTTGGTGACATTTTCTATGTGAAATTCTTAGATTTTTTTCTAGTTTTAATATAAAACAATATGTTTGGCAACTGGGAATCAAATTTTCGTACTCAATTTTAAATTTTATTTTTGATTTAATAATAATAGGTTTAATTTAATTTTCACACATTAAAAAATATAATTAATATGATCAAACTAAATTTTTGTTTAATTTTCTCTTAAATATATCATATATTAAATATTAATAATCCAAATTTCAAAATTGCAAAATTGATTAATATAATTGGCAATAATTAATTTATATGTCCAAAGATTTGAATAATAATAATAATAATAATAATAATAGCAACCTATTTTTGATAGAGATAAATATTAAACATGTGTAGAATATGAAAATTACTAAAAAAACATACTTTCTTTCTTTTTTAAAAAAAACTAAAAGTAAAATTATCACAAGTAAAAAACGAAATGAATATACTTTTTATGGAAGGAAGGGAGAATCATTTATGATTTTATTAAAAAAGTCATTTTTTACATTAAAGTATATTGTTGGGGGTACAAGTGCATGTAGAATTTGACAAGATATTTGAATTCTAATGCTCTCTTTAGTATTCGATGAAGGACTAAATTATTTTGGTTCACCGAATTTCGCTTCGATGGTTGATATGGAAAAAATGAACTAACTGTTTGACTTTATAGTTTAAAGAAATCATAATATAAGGACTAGATAATACAATTTTAAAAATTGAGATTTTTAATAATATAGTTGATCAAAACCTAAAGGCTCTGTAACAATTACCCCTTAATTTTATTTTGAATTTTGTCGTATAACTAATCATTTAACTTTTTATTTTTTCTTTTTATTTTTTATTATTGGGACAACATTTAAACTAAAGATATTTCAACCATTTATTCACAAATTTCTTCCCTCTTTGTGTAAAAAATATTTAACTTTCATGTAAATTATATAAACTTGTAATATACCGTGCTATGCACGGTTAAAAAAAAGTACAATTGAGAATATTTATTTTTTCTTTTTATTTTTTATTATTGGGACAACATTTAAACTAAAGATATTTCAACCATTTATTCACAAATTTTTCCCTCTTTGTGTAAAAAAATATTTTAAACTATTCCATGTAAATTATATACTTGTAATATACCGTGCTATGCACGGTTAAAAAAAAGTACAATTGAGAATAATATAGTAATAAATAATATATATATAATTTTACAGATTTTTAAATACAATTTTTTTTATATATTATATTATTAAAAAATATTATAAAGATTTATCAATAGTTAAAAAAAATATATAGCATGATTTTTTATTATTAAAGTAAAAATTAGTAGATAAGCATGTGTTCAGGAATATGGATTAAAAATATTAAAATTTATTGAGATAAATTAAAAATAAATAAAATGAAAGGTAATAAAATTCATTAATTTGATTTATTTTAAAATTAATGTAAAAAATAATTAACTCATTATTTCATTAAAATTCAAGAATAAATAATTTATTTTAAATAATTAAGATTCGTATAAATTTTCAACTTATCATATTATTATTTCATTAAAATTCAAGAATAAATAATTTATTTTAAATAATTAAGATTCGTATAAATTTTCAACTTATCATATTATTAATATAATAGTTAATCAATTATATTTAACATAATTTAATTTTAATACAAAAATTTTTAATGTTTTAATATAAAATAATAACTACCAATATCATTAAAATTTATAAATTATGTAGTTTATTTATACCATTAAAAAAGTTATATAAATTGTTACTTAATACATTATTAATTCTTTAATGTTATATTAATCAATTACATTTAAAACGAATTAATTCAATTATAAATTAATTTATTTTTAAATAAATATAAAAACAAATAATTAAGTCATACATATGTCATTAATTTGAAATCCTATATGGCAATATCAAGAAAAAAATGAGAAAAAAATGTTTGAGTAAGAACTACTAACCAACTTAGTGAAAATAGTTCAAATGTAGAAAATTTTGAACTTTTTAAAAAATTGAATAATCTATACTATACATAAAAGTGAGAATAAGGAAGGGAATAATGAGATTACGTGTAATGGCTTTATTGAAATTTTAAATGTTATAAAATAACCTTATTAATAACCAATTAAATTTTATTTCAGTTATATAAAATTGAAATAATTGAATTAAATCTGTTGAATTGAATTTTATTTGTTATTTTGGTGCAAATTAAATTATCTAGCTATCTTTTTCTTATTTCGGTTCAAAAATTGAATCAACCAATGCGCTACTTATGACCTAGCTTAGTTTAAATAGGAAAAAATAATTGGATTTCTAATTTTTATCATAATTAATACTCCATATATTTCTTGCTACTTTCGGGGACAAATTTCGAAATTTCTAAATTATATTCAAATTAACATTTAAGTACCACCACTACTTAAAAAAAAAAAACATTTTTATACATAATTCTCAATTTTAAGCTAAATAACATTTTTTAACACCAAGACACAGTCTAGTAATAAGTGCATGTATAACTTGGTAAAGCTTGTCCATATTGAAGCCAAAAAATTAACAATTTTTATACCTTAATTTTTCATTAATAAATTACTTTTGTCCTATGTTTTGTCAAAATTAACTAATCTATCATTGTAGTTATTAACAATTTTGTCTTTGTATTTTATTAAAATTAACTAATGTGTACTTATACTTAATGAAAAAATATACAAAAATTAACAGAATAATATATCAATGCAACGTAGGTAAAAAGATAACGATAAAACTATGCATTTCGAAAAATGCAAGAGTAAAATAATGTATTTTGATAAAATATAATGATAAAATAGTAATTTTTTTCTTTAATTATATATTGAAAGGACTGTAATTTGTATTAAAAGTAATGGGAAAAATTATTATTGGCACTTAATTCATGTAGAACGAGATTAAATTTCTTGTTTAGGTAATTTTTTAAGGATATGCCCACTTCCTCACATCGATTTTTTATGTCTATGGTGTACGTTATCATTATTTATTTTTACTCATTTATTATTTTTTATAATAATAAGAAAAATATAATTATCTGTATGTATATATCTATAATAGTTGGAGTCAAGGCGAAACTACCTGAGTTAGGACGCCATTGCCGCCGAGACCTTCAAAATTATATATTTTCAAAATTAACCTCATTGGCCTTCCCAAAATATTTAAATTCAATTTTTCTCCCCTCAGTATATATAACATAGGCCCCTCAATTTTATTATTATTATTGTGATTAACAACCAATACTTAAAAGTCTTGTTCTGCCTATGGTGGGAGTTCTTTTTTTCAACAAACTCCAATCCTAACTAATAAGGAATGAGAACTCCTTTTCTTACTCTAATTATACTAAATTTAAGCATGAACAATTTCCATATCAAGAAACAGAAACAAATTACTTTCAAAGCAAGAGATCACTTTTGAACAAATGAAAGATATCAAAAGGGCCCTCACATTTTCTTTTTGTTTAATAATGGTCCACAAAGAGATTCCATATTTCCACATTTGGCAAAAATATTATGCCTCAAAAACCTTAATTATTCACAATTATCCAAATTATAGTAAATTAGTAATAACTAATCAATACAAATGAACAGTTAGTAACCTCAAATCCTCATAACCAATTAGTAATAAAAGGAATTTGTTTTATGAATTTATACATGTGGATTAATTCATTTTCCTACTAATTAAACTTAAATGCATTAGTTTTAGTTTAGGGTGAGCAAGATTTGGCTTGGACCTAATAGCCGAACCAAATCGACTCATTTTAGTTTGGTTCGATCAAGTTTTTTAGAGATCAGTTACCGATCGATTCAAATAGTGATAATTGAATGATTTTCGGTTTTCAATTTGATTACTTGTATAGCTAACCGAATTGATTTTATTCCAAAATAGATTATTTGGTTTGGAATAATTGAACCAAATTCGAATTGATCTAATTCGATTCAATGCCAAACTGATTTTCACGGTCTTCAATACAGTTTTGGTCGGCATGAAATCTATCCGATTATATCGATTGAACCAATTCGGTTCGATTAAACTGAATGTTGACCCTAATTTTAGTTAAACATAATAAAAGAAAGTCACCATCTACCTTTCTTTTTCGGGTGGGTTAATGCTGTTTTTAGATGTTGATTTAAACATTTGTTGATTCAAGAAATCGTACGTAAAGTAGCTAAAAGACAACAACTTAAGGTGGTGCTTGCAGGCATAAAAGAGTTTCAACATACTTCCAAGCAATTTCCAAGTGTTTGTTAGTTGAAAGGTACGTGTTGTTAGGTTGGATCACTTTTTGAGAGTTGAGATAGATTAGTACTATCTAACATTTAGACCTAATTATATCATAAAATTTTTAGATTCTGGCTAAGTTTGGTAATCCTAAACTTAGGGCTTCAAAGATCAAATAGGAAATACAACCTGATATATATTAGGAGTATCAAGTTATTAAATATCTTTCGTTTGAAATAAAGGAGTGTTCACAGTTTAGATTTAAAATATATTAAGGAAAATCCAAATCAAACAGAATTTCTAAAAATATTTAAATTTTATATATTTATTCGATCTAGATTGTTTGACCAATTTATGTGAGTTAAACTTCAATCTATTATTATATTAGGTTTGAATGAAAATAAAATTCAATTTTTTAATTTATCAAGTCATAGAAAATTATTCTTTAAAAACAAAGTACAGAAAATTATTAATCACTTTGAAATGAGAGAATAAAACCATTATTAACTTGTTGATTAATTTTTTGTATGTAAATTAAAATTTATTGA